AGAGCCCAAGTTTGAGCCTGGTTAGATCGCCATGGTAACAGAGCCTGCGTTTGAGAGGTTAGATCGCCATGGTAACAGAACCTGAGTTTGAGTCTGGCTAGATGGCCATGGTAACAGAACCTGAGTTTGAGCCTGGCTAGATCGCCATGGTAACAGATCCCGAGTTTGAATATATGCATTTTAGTTTATTTTCCAATACATTTAACATTGCTCTTTGACAGGTTATATGATTTAATTAAACCAGGTCTTCTCCAATTACTGATTCTGTTTTCAGACTTGAGATGTTTCTGATGTTTTGACAACTGTTCTTTATGCATAATGGAAAAACAATATCAATACTGCAACGTTCTGTTGAACTGAAAAATATTTCATAACATTTATGGAAAGATAAAAGTTATGATCAGACTCTGGAAGCTCACCTGTTTAAGTCCGAGTTTGTCCATTTTATTTTTAATATAATTTTTGAACCTCCTCTGTTTTTCTTATAGGCTGAGGGTTTGGGGTTACAGTTATTTTTATTTCAAATTTAATAAAAGGATAGTACTACTGTACTACTATAGGAAGGGTACTTCCTCCAACAGTCCAGAAACATGCATGTTAAGCTGCCTTCAGACAAAATGTGGAAAAGTGCAGAGGGTGTGAATACTTTTTAATAGAGTGTAAAGTTATTTAAATAAACTTTGTTGAAAAGCTTCTAATAAAACCAGTGTGTAATGGCGGTTGTGTGTCCTTCAGATGGAAGATGAAGCCATGGCCTCCATGTTGGCAGATTTTAACCCCTGTCCACCAGATGATGAAGATGCCTCAGGACTGAACCGCTCCAGCACATCTCCTCCTGAAGCGATGTGATGTGAATCATTGTGACAGACGTTAGAAAACTATAACATGAGTCACGTTTTTATGTTGTAATACCTCAAACATAAAATTAGAAGTCATTCTTTGTTCTAAATCTGGTCTTCTTTTTTATGGTTAATCAGTTTCACTGTGTTGCTGATGTTAGGTATGATGGTGTTGAGTGGGAACCCAGTAACAGTGAAGGGAGCAGCATCTCTTTGCATTAACCTGGTGAACCTCCAGAAATCTGTTACCCAGAACCTCTGAATTCATGCAGTTTGACGTTTGGATGCATCTTTATTCTTCTTTGTTGTATCTGTCATCTGTGCTTTCTTATTAAAGTTAAAATATTATGTCATGAGAAACTCACTACACCGTTTATTCTGAGATTTATTTTCCATAATTTAAGCACTGCACCTGCCTACCACTGAAAGATGAAGGCGGATAATAATGTTTTGCCCATTTGTCTCTCTCAGTAAAATATTTCATGAGTCACTCAATGTATTTTGATTAAATTTAAAGATGGTAATTATTGGATGTACATCTGCAAATGAATAACTTTTGGAGTCATGTCATTTCAAGATGGCTGCCACCGTTAATCAGCATCAGCCACCACGGTTAATTAACGTCAGCCAACATGGCTAATTCATGTTACATGAATTCTTTGACGTTTGGGTGCATCTTTATTCTTCTTTATTTTTCTTTGTTTAATCTGTCATCTGAGCCTTCTTATTAAAAGTAAAATATTCTGTGATGATCAATTAGCCAACACGGCTAATCAAATAATTAAATAGCTATGCCATTAAATTATTTAAATGCTCAAAAAATGAAATGTCTCATCCAATAAAATATTTTTTTACATATCTTTAAATAATAAACTGTCACTATTTTTGAAAAAGTATTTTAGGTATTTAAAAACGTATTTCTCTGTTTTTATTTATTTCAGGGCTCCCCTGCTGTGGAGGGTTAAGAGACTAAATAAATAAATTCATTACGAAATAATTATGAATGTCCCATGAAACACATATGCCATTAAATTTGATTTTGTCACTTTTAAACCGGAGTGCGACATGTTGCCGTATAAAATAAGATTAAATGTTAGTTTTGAGGTTTGACTTAAAGCTGCTGCATTTTAAATTTAGTTTAAGCGGACATGAAAGGCGGCGGGTGATATCCAGCCCTTTATGAATATTTTAGATGGAGAGGAGGGGTGTGTGACGTCAGCCTGGCTGTCTGGTGACGTCAGGACGGGTCTTCAGATGGGAGGCGGTGAAGCTCCGCACCTCCTCATCATCCTCCTCGGGTTCTTGTGTTCCTGATCCCGGGCCGTGCGGAAACCTGACGGACTCATCGGCATCAAGGGAACCACACGGAACCGAGCCGCTGCTGGACCTCCACTGGCGAACATCAGCGGGTACGGGCCTGGTTTGGGGGGTGGGGGTCTCTGGAGCAGGTGGGCGGCCTGTGGGGGCCTGTCTGTCCGCTCGTGAGTGGAGGAGGCTGAGGCGGGCCGGATCGTCCTCGCCTCCATCCCAACCGCAGTAAGGCTTTGTAGTGACATGATGGGGGAGGAGGGGGAGAGGGGCGACGGTGTCCCTCTGCATCAGTTGGGGTGCGCGCGCGCTGCGTTAACTGTTGTTTATTTTAAACGGAGGAAACTACAGACGGAGGTGGAGACTGGAGGTGGTGTTTGGGTCGGAACCGGTCCAGCTCCTGTGGCGCATGCACAAGCCGCTGTGGGGTTTGATGTTTCCAGAATGTTCGAGGAGTTCGGTGGTTGTGACCCAGCTGTGCTGAGTAATGAGCTCACCACGACAGTAAATCCTGAGCTGGGAGCAGACTGCTCCTTGGAACTCACACACTGTGGAGGGGAGGTCACCTGCAGCACCTCCAGCAATAGAGAAGTGTCTGCCTGTTAGCAAAATATCCTCCACTGGACTTAAAGCTCTAAGAAACTGATTATTTTATGGATCAAATTCAAGATGGCCGCCACAACTGACAATACACAAACAGGTTTGTGCAGCAGGATGTGGTGTGGTAGTAGCTGAGAGTCATTTACATGCAGCTGTTTAATCACACTGAAGCTGTGCTTTAAACTTCAGCATTGACTGTTGGGAGTCAAACGTCTGTTAGCAAAATTTCTCCTGAATCTCTGGACGGATTTTAATGAAAGGAAGTCGTTCTCAGTTGATCGTTTTCAACAGATTGGTTTCCAAATAAATATACCACAGTATTAACCAGCACGTAACGGTCCATTTTACTTACACCGAGCTCACCTTTCACACTTTCTGTCAATGACGTGTCTGAGCGACACGGTAACTCTGTCCAAACTCGGTCCCCACGTTTGGTGACATATCCTGCACTTTTCAAACACACTGGGATTGACGGACAAGGCAGTGACAAAACAAAGTATCCATGGGAGAAATTTTGGGTAAAACTTTACAATAAGGTACACAAACTTTCTTTACAGTAACTGGCAACGCCTCGGGAACGAATCCGGAGCTAATGGGTAGTTAACCAGTAATTACTGGGGAACACACAGTCAAGCCTTATTAGGGGACTACTGGTTAGTTACCACATAAACGGAGGAGAAATTCTCCATGTGGCACCAGTGATGTCACAGCTCATAATTGTTAAAAACCTGTTTCCTAGTGATTAATGATTTAATTGGATTTTCTCTTTTGTAAACCTGTTGATGAAAGACGTTATTAGTTTCATAATCTCATACTGGTGTCGTCTTAACTATAAATGACGATCACTTACTCTGTACCAAATCATTGCCTGGCTATTATTTTGTTCACTGATGTAGTGAAGCATCAAACCAAGTACTTACTGAGGAACCAATCATTACCTAATCACTACGTGACCATTACCTACTGGTTTGTTTCTGTGGTAACAAACCAATAGTTCCCTAATAAGGCTTGGCTGTGTAATTCCCCAGTAAGTACTGGTTAACTACCCATTAGCTCCTGATTCGGTCCTCTTTGGTTTCCTTGGTAATTAGTTCTTCATTAGTTCCTCTTCATTTACAAGGTAACTAACCAGCAGTCCCAGCGTGGCTGTGTGTTCCCCAGTAAATACTGGTTAACTACCCATTAGCTCCTGATTTGTTCCTCATTCATTCCTGAGGCGTTCCTTAGTAGTTAATCCAATTTTGTGTACCTTATTGTAAAGTATTACCCAATTTTCTGGTATTTTCCTTTGAATTAATTTATACTTTTCTACAGATGAGAACATAAACTGATGTGTGCTCTAATATTCTTGTGGTCATTTTATGCCCCAGAGTGTCATTTGATGGAGATGGGACAGTGTGGAACTCCAGCCTCGGTTCTTTTACAGAAGTTACATGCTGAAATGTTTAAAAATGTACATAAATAAATGTACTTTTCGCTATCTATATTTAGAGAACCAACCACCACTTTCTGGGAACTTGTCATGGTCCACAATGTCAAAAGCTTTAGACATGTCTAAATAAAGTCCAGCACAATAATCCTTAGCACCTAGTGCTTCAACAATGTCATTAAAACCTTCAGTGAAGCAGTCATTGTGCTGCTGTTTCCTGAAACCAGATTAATGGGGAGGTAAGATGTTAAAAGAATCCAAATGCTTCTTGACTTGGGAGTTTATCAGTTTTTCTAAAACCTTAGCAAGAATACAGAGTTTAGAGATTGGTCGATAGTTGTTCAGTATAGTGGGGTCTCCTAGCTTCAGTAAAGATAGAACAAAGGCTGTTTTCCAAGCATCTGGAACGGTGTTTTGGCTTATGGACAGGATAGATTTTGGACTCTAGTTTTGCAATGATTTGTGCAGCTAGCCTTAGAAACAAGGAGGAAAATCATCGGGGCCTGCAGATTTTTTCTAATCTAGACCTGTTAACAATTTATTAATCTCACTAACATAAAGCATTGAAAATGAAAAGGTGTGGTTTACTGAGGATTGACTTGTAGTAGAGATTTGGTTTGTAGATGTTTGGCTTCAAGGAGAAGTGGCTGATTTTCCATTAGTAACTGTGGCAAATAAAGAACTAGAATCAACAAAATGTTTGTTGAAACAGTTCAGGATCTTGTGCTTATTTGACACAGGAAAAGAGTTAAGAAGTTGTGATGGCAGGTCAGATGAATGAGAGCTGCCAGAAAGTGATTTGATGGTTTTCCAGAATCTTTTAGGGTCATTTAGGTATTTGGAGGTCTGAGATAAAAAGTATATATGTTTTGTGGCTTTGATGGAAGCTGCATTGATTCTGCAGCTGTTGAAAATGCAATTAATCAGGGTCAGAGCTAGATTGTCTTGCTGTTGCCCAAAGCTCATCTCTCCTCTGTAGGAGGGAGAGTTACATTCGGGCCCAAAATATCTGACCCGGCCCCAGCCCATAGCCATCATTTCCAAACCCATCCATCCATTTTCTTCCGCTTATCCGGGGTCGGGTCGCGGGGGTAGCAGCCTAAGTAGGGAGGCCCAGACTTCCCTCTCCCCAGCCACTTGTGCCAGCTCTTCCGGGGGAATCCCAAGGCGTTCCCAGGCCAGCCGAGAAACATAGTCCCTCCAGCGTGTCCTAGGTCTTCCTCTGGGCCTCATCCCCCGGTAGGACGTGTCCGGAACACCTCACCAGGGAGGCGTCCAGGAGGCATCCTAAACAGATGCCCAAGTCACATCAACTGGCTCCTCTTGACGTGGAGAAGCAGTGGCTCTACTCGGGGTCCCTCCCGGATGATCGAGCTTCTCACCCTATCTCTAAGGGAGAGCCCAGACACCCTGCGGAGAAAACTCATTTCAGCCACTTGTATCCGAGATCTCATTCTTTCGGTCACAACCCAAAGCTCGTGACCGTAGATGAGGGTAGGAATGTAGATCGATCGGTAAATTGAGAGCTTCGCCTTTTGACTTAGCTCTCTCTTCACCACAACAAATCTGTACAGCACCTGCTTCACTGCAGATGCTGCACCTATCCACCTATTGATCTCACGCTCCATTTTTCCCTTATTCGTGAATAAGACCCCAAGATACTTGAACTCCTCCACTTGGGGTAGGACCTCCTCCCTGACCCGGAGAGGGCACTCTACCCTTTTCCGGCTCAAGACCATGGCCTCGGATTTGGAGGAACTGATCTTCATCCCAGCCGCGTCGCATTCGGCTGCGAACCTCTCCAGCGAAAGCTGTAGATCACGATCTGATGAAGCCAATAGGACCACATCATCTGCAAAAAGCAGAGACGCAATCCTAAGGCCACCAAAACGGATCCCCTCAACACCTTGGCTGCACCTAGAAATTCTGTCCATAAAAGTTATGAACAGAATCTGTGACAAAGGGAAACCTTGGCGGAGTCCAACTCTCACTGGGAACAAGCCCGACTTACTGCTGGCGATGCGGACCAGGCTCTGACACTGGTCATACAGGGACCTAACGGCCCGTATCAAAGGGCCCCGTACCCCATACTCTCAGAGTACCCCCCACAGGGTTCCCCGAGGGACGCGGTCGAACGCCTTCTCCAAGTCCACAAAGCACATGTAGACCGGTTGGGCAAACTCCCACGCACCCTCCAGGACCCTGCTGAGAGTGTAGAGCTGGTCCAATGTTCCATGGCCAGGACGAAAACCGCACTGCTCCTCCTGAATCTGAGGTTCGACTATCCGATGGACCCTCCTCTCCAGAACCCCCGAATAGACCTTACCAGGGAGGCATAAGAGCGTGATTCCCCTGTAGTTGGAACACACTTTTCGGTCCCCCTTTTTGAATAGGGGGACCACCACCCCGGTCTGCCAATCCAGGGGAACTTCCCCCGATGTCCACGCAATATTGCAGAGTCACGTAAACCAACACAACCCTACAACATCCAAAGCCTTAAGGAACTCCGGGCGAATCTCATCCACCCCTGGGGCCCTGCCACCGAGGAGCTTTTTAACCACCTCGGTGACCTCAGCACCAGAGATTGGAGGGCCCGACCCAGAGTCCCCAGGCTCCGCTTCCTCAGTGGAAGACGTGCCGGTGGGATTGAAGAGGTCTTCAAAGTATTCTGCCCACCGACCCACAACATCCAGAGTTAAGGTCAGCAGCACACCATTCCCACTATAAACAGTGTTGGTGGCGTACCGCTTTCCCCCCATGTGACGTCGGATGGTGGACCAGAATCGCCTCGAAGCCGTGTGGAAGTCATTCTCCATGGCTTCTCCGAACTCCTCCCATGCCCGAGTTTTTGCCTCAGCGACCACCCGAGCCGTATGTCGCTTGAACTGCCGGTACCCATCAGCAGCTTCCGGGGTCCCACAGGCCAACAAGGCCCAATAGAACTCCTTCTTCAGCCCGACAGCATCCCTCATCGACAGTGTCCACCATCGGGTCCGAGGGTTGCCGCCATGACAGGCACCGACAACCTTGCGGCTGCAGCTCTGGTAAGCCGCCTTGACAATAGAGGCACGA